CAGCACTTGAGGCTGAAGCTCAGCAGCCCAAGGTGGCCTGGGACAAGGAGGCGGCTGCTAACAAACCCGCGCCTTGGAAGGTGGTTTCACCCGCACCAAAGACGTCACTCAAGGACACCATGGTCAAGGGCTCGGCCAAGTCTGCGTCACCATTGGCGGCGAACACCAAGCCGCTGCTCTCAGTAGATAACTCTGCGAGGTCGTCACCGCGAAGAGCTGCATCTCCCGACACGCGCTTCCCAGGCCAGTCTCGCGTGAGCAGCTCTCCTGCAGTACCTAGTGCCTCGTCAAGCCAGCCAACGTCGAAGCCCCTGGTACCGCACTCGAGATCGTACATCACCCCGGTCAGCAAGGCCGAGCCGATCCTGGGCTTGAGTCTGCAGGACATCATCGGGCAGCAGAAGCGAGAACAAGAGATTGTCAAGGAAGCCGTCGCGAAGAGGTCGATGCAGGAGATCCAGCAGGAGCAAGAGTTTCAGGAATGGTGGGACCAGGAGACGAGGCGCGTGCAGGAGGAAGAGGCTCGGAGGGAAGCCAAGGACAAGGTGAAGGAGGGGAGAACCCCGAAGGACAGCAAACGAGGGAGACGCGGCCGCGGTGGCCCCAAGAGTAAGGCCGCCGGCCCCCCTGGGCAAGAGCAAGGTGCTGCTGGCAGCGGCGGCGTCGAGGTCGGAGTAGGTCCGGCCAAGGCGCCGAGCGGGCCAGCAAGCAACGCCCGGGGGCGGAGCAGTCGGGGGCGGGGGAGGGGCGGCAAAGCATCGACATCTGCACATTGATTATTTGAGTATTGTTTATAGGCGTTTCAGGGAGTGGGTGCCACGGAAGCCAGGAACCAGAACAAACAAACACACGGGTCAGGCATGGTTAGTTTGGGAACCACAGTTTGCGGGGCGGATTCTTTTTGATCCAAATTGTTGGCCGCCAAGTCTCATAGACGATAGGACGAGACACTGAAGAAATAGAGAGAGAGAGAGAGAGAGAAAAGACTTCTTCACTCCAATTCGTTCGTGGTTCTGTCCTACGATGGCGTGTTACCAAGTCTCCATTAGGGATAGGGACTACTAGATTGAGTGGTTGTGCAGAGGCCGAGCTAGACTGGTTGCACCATGTGACGGGAGAAACGTGGCCAAGAAAGGGTTACTCCGGATCGCAAGTCCCATCGGCGATTTTGTTGCCATGCCGAAAATCGCCATGCCGTGGCTCTTGGGAGATCGGGGGTTGGTTGGGCGGGAAGGGCAGCATGAGTAGTACAAGTACCATCGGAGGTTGGGTCCGATCTGCGGAGGTGCTCCATACACACACACACACGCACAGGCGCGGGGCGGAGGCGGGATGGGGGGACGGATGGCCTTACCCTTATCAATGGGTCGGACGGGTCATGGTGGTGATGCTGATAAGAGATGATGTGCTGGTGTTAGTTCATTGGCGATCCGAGAAGGATGACTCGTTCAGCCTGTGAGCGGGTGAGAAAGAAAGAGGCCGCGCTTGGCTGCTTGGTTGGGGTTGCCGCACATGGCGCCGGGGGAGGTAGGTGGTCTGGGTTATCTGCCTAGATGCTAGGCTGCATAGCTACCTACGAAGAAGGGTAGGTCGCGAGAGATGGACTGGGGGACCGTATATAGAGGACCTTGTGGAGGGGAGGACGGGTGTCTAGGTAGGACTCGGCGCCAGACTGGGACGAGCAGGCCGTCAGTCAGAGCCGGTCGGCGTCACAGAGTCGCAGAGTCGCAGAGACGGCAAGATAAGAGTCGTGTCGTGTACTGTCAAGGATCCGAGGAACGCTGGGCGCCTACGGAGCACACTGTACGTGTAACGCTGGTGACGGCAGGGCCGATTCCCGGGGTCGGCCGAGACGCGGGTGCGTTGGTCTAGATACGTGACCCTGTCCGTTCGGTGCTGCCTTTGGAGTTTGCCTGCTCGACAGGGAGCGGCAGAAGATGATGGGACCTTGTTGGCCTGGCCGTTCACTTGATGGACAACCAGGGGTTGGCTATCAGCCGCAGACTGGACTGGACTGGATTGGAGGCATGGGAAATGGATACATGGATGGACGGATGGGCTCGCTCTGTATGTAATGCGTGGATGACCCCGGGCCCGAATCAGCTGTCAGCTGCCACTTGGGAGGACTTGGACTCGGGGACCCGGCGTCCGACTCTCGACTCTTGCGGGTTGCATTGAACGAGGCGGATTGCGTGCTGATTGTCAATGGTCTGTGACGCAGGCCGACGCCGAGGACAGCTTGACGCATCAACGACAAACAATCAGCGGTGGGCCTGGACCTGAGGCAAAGCTGAGCACAGGGACGAAAATGGGAGAGAGAGAAAGAGAGAGAGAGAAAGAGAGGCTTGGTCTTCCGCGTGACTCAGCAGAACCCTCGATCCCTCTTCTCCTCTCCTCTCGTCCCAGGACCCAGCGAATCGCCTCCGCGGCAATGCATGCGTGGTTGAGGCCATTCTGGGGCCCGGGCTTGGGCACGCCTACCTACTCTTCCACTCCAGAACTTGTACACATTTGGAGGTGGAGGGCAGTCGAGTCTTGGGTGTTGAGCCAATCCAAGGGGACGGTTTTCTACATATACAGCTGTTGGCGGCTACTGTACCGCCGCATCGGGGGCAAGTATGTTACTACTCGACTGCATAGTTCCCGGGCGGTCCCCATACATGCAGCATGCCCACGTCCCAAACAATGGCCCGGTGAACTGTGGATGAGCCTCGGGGGGAGTTGGAGTCATCGAGGTTGGAGTCGATGTCGTGTCGTGGATGAAGTCAAGGTTCAGGTCAATTGAGGAACCGTTTCCCCACCGTGACGCTACCAAAGTGCCTTTTATTCTTCTTTTTATTCTTTCTTTTCTTTTCTTCTTGTCTATTGTCTCGATGTTCTGATAACCGGTTGCTCTAGGGCCTCTTGAGCTCTTGAGGAAAACACAAAAGTAGATCTAGAGACTTGCCATAAAAGAGCGAACAATACAAAAGAAAAGAAGAAAAAAAAGTGGAAGAACGAGTTGTTCGCACCAGGCCTGCAAGGTGAGGCGGCAACTGTGTGCGCGCCCACGATGAACGGTCTAGAGCATGGTACATGTTTGATACTTTGAGGCACATCAGGGTAACGTGAGGGACTAGGTATCTCGTGCATCACCGATTCACCCGTCTGTTCTTCCCACACATCCTCCTCCTGTCTGTTGCAGCCCGCCAGTGACGACCACCAACCAAGTATTGTGCTTGTTGTCTGGTGCCTGAGGAAGTCAAGTCGCAACTTTCTCTACCAGGCCAGGCCAGACCAGACCAACCAACCACTGCTCTACCCCGTCCCATCCCATCCCATCCCATCCCATCCAACTGCATGGCTATGTCTCTCTTTCTCACTTTCTGCCTCTCTCTCTCTCTCTCTCTCTCTCTCTCTGTCAGTGTCAGTGCAGCCCCATCTGCCCATCCATGTCTCTATGCCCCATGTTGCTCCTCCCCCCATGCCCGTAACCTAGCTCACGGATGCTTGTTAGGGGTGCCGGTGCGCTTGCGGATGCGCTGCCGCTGCAGGCCCCAGACCCGTCCACTGTCATTGTCTCGCTGCTCCTGTGCTCTTCATCTTGCTCCCGAACCCACACAACCACACATCACTGGTGACTGGGGGGAGTCAACAACACTGGAACTGGGAGCAGCTGCAAGAGATCCATGTCATCCGCTGTCTTCGTGTCTTGTCCCTGTCTTGCTTCTTGACCTTGCCTGACGTCTATCCCTCTCTCTCTCTCTCTCTCTCTCTCATTCTCCCTTCCCGTCTCTCGTCTCCTCGACCGCCGCATCACCCAGCAACTCCCCAGACGACAATCCCTTTGTTTCGCCCGTTTCTTGCCCTCTTTGCATCATCAATATTGGGTCATTGCGTCTTATCGCCATAGCCCCCCCTCCGACTCTCTCTGTCTCTCCTCTCCTCACCTCGCCTCACCTCCCGCTCTCCGTCTCTTCTCTTTTCAACTCTTTCCCTACCTAATCCTTCCCGTCCCTCTCTTTCTCACTTTCCCGCTTTCCGAGTCAGCATATACCGTCTGATCTTTTCTGGTTTCGTGCCGTCTTGAACCTGGCCCCCCCTGGCTTTCTCCTACGAACGTCTACACAACGTATACACCGCCTTGGTTTCTCGCCTGAAGTACACTCTCCCCCAAAGCAGGTGACTCGATGACGGAAGGGTACTTGTCAAAGATCACGAGGCTCAACCTTTGAGCGTATGACACCAACGCCGACAACCCCCCCCCCCCCCCCCCCCCCCCCCCCCCCCCCCCCCCCCCCCCCGACTCGACTACCACAAGACGGCACCCTCCGCATATCCAACTCCCGCTGCCCTCCAATTCTTCCTGGGCAAACCACCACTGCCAGTAGTGCATCTCGGAGCGACTTGTTTGTGTTGTTGTTGGTGGACGTGCACAGGAGGTCCCTCGCTATACCACCAATCTTAGGCAACCCGAAAGCCATGGTCGAAGCCACCGCCTAGCTCGTCCATTTTCGCCCTGCAGCCCTGCCCACTGCCTGCTAAACGCAACGCAACGCAACGCAACGCCCTTGGCCTGCTCGTGCGGTATCGGTAACGCTCCTCCGTCGCCCGCCCGCCCGCATCGTCTCCACGTTGACCCTGCCTTACCCGCCGTTGCCTGCCTCGCCGCGCCCCAATTCCACATAGGCTCCCACTGCCTCCCTTGCGCCGCATCGAGTTCCCCTCCTCCACACCGAGCGACCCTCCGTGGGCGCACGCTTCTGAATTGAGGCATCGACGTCTTGAACCACCCCTCGTTTCTGTTGTCATGAAGGATGGATGAGCAGGTTCGGTGCCACCCCGACTTCGACACCGCGAATCCTCTCCCGCACCCCGCCTAGAGCCTCTCCTGCGCAGTAGGCCTGCACCGCACCACACCGCATCCGCTTCGTTGCCCTGAGAGACGGCCTCGCCGCGACAGCTACACAAACACACTCTCGCCGTTTCTCCTGCCCTTGGGGCTGCGATCCCGAGTCAAGATGCATCAGCAAGCTCGCCCTGCCCCGCGGGTCTCCTCCCCCGCTTCCGCCCCCCAGACAAATCCCGCCCGAACAAACAACCCGAGAGAAGGCATTCTTGGTGCCCGTGATAGGGCTGGTTCGGGCGCTTCTGGCCGCGACTCTGCTGCGGCATCGCCGACCGCTGAGACACCTCCAGGCACAGTGTCTGCCGATGCCGTCAAAAAGTTGGATCAGATAATCCAGGTAGGTCGGGGAGTCGTCGAGTGTTCGGTCAAGGACGCAGGCTAACTTTGCGCAGAACTTCCATACCAAGGCTGCATCGTTGGTCCTGCATTCGCGCATGAAACTCAAGCCCATATATGCAACCCGTGGATCCGGCAACAAGAAGCTCAACAAATGGGTAAGTGCTGGCCCTTCCGCAGTCCTCGTCTTCTGCCTTTGCGCTCAATCACTGACGTTCCGTGCCTCGGCAGTTCCAAATCGAGACGGAAGAGTTCGACGACTTCAAGGAGGAGCTCCGGATCTGGCGAAACTGCGGCAGCTTTGAGAATAAGCCTATGCCCCTGATCATCGAAACGTACCTCGACACCTCTCGTCTTACCCCGAGCCAGAGTTTGGTCATCGTCGACGAGAACGGAAAGCGGTGGGACGTGATGGAAGCGCTCAACTCCTCTGATTCGAGCGACGACGGGCGCTCAGTGCCCTCCAAGAAGAATACAGAGGTGATTTTGGAAAGATGGCGCATTGAGCTCAAGACGATACCCACCACAGATATGGACGATTTTGGCCCGACGCTACCGACGATTTACAAAAAGAGCATTGTCTTCTTTCGGTCGCTCTTTGTGGCGACAAGGATTCTTCCAGGATGGAAGTTTTCCCAGTCTTCTTTGACCAAAGGCGTCCACCCGTCCTTGGAGCCCCGGTGCCGTATCCGAACTGGCGAGCCAGACACTGGCGGTCTTGACCGGCTTAGGCATCCGTTGTACGACGGCCGGCCGGATGTCGTGACCGACTACGTTTTTGGCGACTTGGAGGTGCCCGTCGGTCGCTTCTATGCATCGGTGACGTACAGGAATGAGTGCAACTTCCGGGTGGATGATTCAGAGGCGCTCCTGAGTTCGCGATTCATGGGTGTTGACGAGAATTTCTTTAAGCCATCACTGCCGCAGCGGCGGGAAAGCACTCGAAGGAACGACCCCGAGGTTGGATCCCTTCCATCTCATCGACGAAGCCGGAATCTATCAGACATTCACCAAACATACGGCAGCCTCTCAACCTTTCACGGCGACGGTGCTTTGGGTACCAGTCCTATATCTGCCCTTAAAGCTGTGAGACCCCCCGGGTCCGACACAAGCTCACCCCCGGAATCTGTACCAACAGGCAACGAGCTAAATCCACCAAACTCGTTGCCCGTCACCGGTCTCGCAACGAGACCGTCCATGAAGGGCTTCAGCACCAGCGGCCGTCGGCCATCCGTCTCGTTTCAACCTTTCAAGGCTGGGTCTCTATCTGGGTCACCCATTCCGCGGACGCTGGATTCCGAATCACCCGCTTCCCCGGTCTCACGTGCCGCGGCTCTCAACGCCCTTACTCAACCCCGCAACCGCACTTCTTTGACAGCAGGAATGCCTGCTTCTCTTCGAGGCGGTCCCCCGCCGGTCGAGGCAGCCGTGATAGGCTCACCGCGGCCATCCTCGACCAGCCGCTACAGCAGCAGCTTCACACATCGCAAGGGACGACTGTCATTCGGTGGCGCTAGCAAGGCCGGCGATGACGAACAGGGCAGCAGTGGACGACAGAGCTTATCTTCGTCTGTGGCCCAGCCGGGATCTGGCCTTCTGGCTGAAACAGGTGGAGGGGGCAGCTCGGGGTCTCTGCAAACCGACGACGACCAAATTTCAGAATTCCTCAAGGCACTGGACAGCAAGAAGACGCTCAAGAGCTTCGAGTCCGGCAAGAAGGGTGAAGGAGCGACGAACCGGACAGTCGCCCAGCTTTCGAGGTTCCACCTCATGAAGGAGTCAAACAATGCCCTGACTGACTCCATGACATCGTCGATGCAGATGCAACGTTCGTCGAGCTCGTCCAGCCGACAGCTCTCCAACGTTCCCAGCATGGCCGCACCGGCTTCAGTATCGGTATCCTCTTCGCCAGGGAAGCCTTTGTCTCCTCATACCCCTCACACGCCTGCTGTTCCTTCACGCCTGAGCGAGAATTCGATCATCAACTACAACACCAGTCAGCCTCGGAGTGAGCGAACCAACCCGAGTGCGGAAAACACACAGCTCGCCAGGGAAGACACCATTACTCAGGACGGGACCACTGCTATTGACATCCCCATCTCACCCAGAATCGGTACTCATCCTCGACGATCCAGTTCGGTGGCTCAACAGAACCGGGCCTTAGTGGACGAGGATGATGGGGACCTCGCGTTTGCCGCGAATCGCAGCATCAGTCTAGGCGCGGAAGACCGCGAACCGCCCACGCTTAGCATGCTGTTGGGCAGACAAACGGAAAACGAGTCGGCATCCCGCCGAGCTGGCACCTCACTGCAACCCGCTTCCGATGTACCGTCCTCGGGCTCGGCAGACATGATGAGACAGGGCTCATCGGAAGGTTCTAAGCCTCCCGGCGGCCTAATGGCTGTCGCGCCTTCCAGTTCGCCCTTTGGTAGACGGCGGTATGCCGGTATGCCCTCGACGGGCGGGCGAGGTCAGACTCCTCCTCAGTCATCAAGAGGCAGCTTCACAGGCTCCAGCGGTCGCTACGGACGTGGCGAACACGACCTGATGGACGAGGAGCCCCTTCTCTTTGACATGTCAGAGATGGACGCGCAGTCACGGAGGAGCTTGGAAGAGGGGCGAGGCGGTGGCAACGTTGGATCTGGGTCGGGAAGCCGCGCCGATTTTGAGCCTCGGGGCATTAGCCGACGAGGCTGGTGAACAAGGAACTCACCACAACGATGACCGTTGCCAATGACATGGTAAAACGGGCCAGGAGAGCAAGAGGACTCCAATTTTTTTTTTTACGTTCTGCGACGGGGCGAGGCTGCGGAAGGGAGCGCGCACCCGGTCATGGGCCCCAGAATGGCCCAGGGCAAGTTAAGGGAGAACTTGCCCCAGAAACATTTTTTCCTCTCATTACAAAGATACATCATAGGGGTTCGGCGGAGAGGGTTTACGGCGTTTGGCTGAGACGGGGATGACGAAGAAATATTCCACTGCCGGCAAAGAAGGCTGGAGTTCCTTGGGGAATCAAGGATTTACTACAGATACGATAGAGAATGCACAAAGACTGGCATGTACACACACTGCAGCAGCATGGCGCATCTGGCGGCAGGCATCGTCACTTTGACGCAGTACGTTTGGAGCAACCTTGTGTGAGTAGGTTATGGCTGACGGCAATGTGCCACGCCATGGATGCATCTAGAGCACGATAATGCGCGCAGGTGTCGCAATGAGCTTCGTCCGATGTTGACGTAGGCATCGGAGCTAGCGTAGGCAGAAGGGCGTTTTCATTTGGCAAGGTTCCATCGACAGGCGAGGAGAAGGACGCAGTCAGGATGTAGCTCGTTTGTGCCATTGCCCCGGGCTCAAGTATTGATGTCTCGAAACGAGCCGCCGGTAGCGTTGCACATGGAAGCGAGGGAGGGAGACCGATGAAGAAGAAGAAAAAGAATCACACACCAAATTGCCAGCAGGTTTGGGTGCCAGGCGTCTGGATAAGGCTCGACATTGTTTTCTCCGCTGGGTCTTGATACTGTCCCGGCGGCTGGGTTCCCCGCAGCTGTGGTGGTGTGGCGCATATATGACTGACGTTTGTTTCTTGGATTGTGTGACTGGGGGGGTGTACAGTCCCACACGAAGGAAGGGAAGGGAACAGACGGCCGCGGCGGATGTACACTAATCATGAGAGAACAGGCTTGGTGATGGGGCCATGGACCATTTTTTGTACAAGGTTGAAAGGGAAGGGAGGGTGAGAAGAGAGTCCAGCAGCTGTTTCTGGGCTGTGATGCTCAATAAACTACCTTAGAAAGAAGCCACTCTGGATTTTAATTGCAACACGCAAGGCACCGCCCAGATACCCACTTCTGTGAGGTGTGAGGTGCATGGCAGTTTATCAAGGCATAAACTAGTAAAAGGCTGTAGAACAGTTGTGGTCGAGTTGGGCTGCAAGAGCCCACGCGGTTGGTTACGCATGCCTCTGGGTCTCTTTGGAGATTGAGCGCGAGAGGATATGCAGTGCATGTCATCCACAGGTGTGGCGGTGCGCAGAGGCGAAGAGCACCGCTTGAGGGAAAAGTCCGCATAATTCGTGGGCGAAACGGCTCAGCCCCTGCTGGGTTGATGATGACGATGGGTCCTCCTCCCTGTCGTCCCTCTCGGATTCCCCAAGGCGCATTCGATGGGTGGAGCATGTATCTTTCCCGGCTGCACAGTATGGGGGAGGTACATGTGGCATCATGCCTCCCCCACTACCGTAGCTGGTGTGTCCTCTGTGACGGCCCATGGCACACCTACTATGTACCTACTTTCTCTGGCCCGCCCCATGCCTCATCCATCGCCGTCCATGTCTATCTGCGCGTCCATCTATACGTCTGTCGGCCCCGTCCGTCCCCATACCTACCTGACCTCGCCTTGCCCGACTACGGATACACGCTTTCTTCAAGGGTATCCAACTCGGCCTTGCCAGGCGAGCCTTACGTACCCATTACTGAACAACCCTTTGGTGACCGGTACCTTGACCTAGGTAGCTTACCACTGTGCTGTATGACGACCGTCCGGGCCACACCCACGCACCCACCTACAACCATCCGACCAGGCTCCAGCACCTTACCAGCAGCAGCCTACCTTAACTGGCTAAACTTCACTCCGTCCCGGCACTTCAACCTCTCATACCTACACACAAACACACACACGCATTCCACCACTCGTCGCGGCAACATATCGCATTCGCCGAACGCTCGCAACGACTTCTATTCCTTGTCGACTCGCCAAGCTTACAGTCCTGACACGAAAACACCCCCGAGATACTTTAAACTGACCGGACCGGACCGAGCCAGCTTTCCCAGACCAACGGTCACTGTAGAGCATCCGCAGCCGCTCGCAGCATCTGCCCAACATGTTTCGAGCTGCCGCAGCTGGTCCCTTTGACGAGGGTGTCGGTACGTCTGTTGCTGTCCAATACACGACCACCGCCAGTATTTAGGGGAATTTCTGCTAACCCGCGTGTCTTGTGTCATCTAGCCAAGGCGACCGATGAGAACCTGACCTCGGAGGACTGGGGAGCCATCATCGAGGTTTGCGATCGCGTAGGCAGCGACCAGAATGGACCCAAGGAAGTTGTCCAGGCCATGATCAAGCGCTTGGCGCACCGCAACGCCAATGTGCAGCTTTACACCCTCGAGGTGAGTTATCCTCCATACGTGCCATCTTGTCGTCGGCCGCCCGCCAAGTGCGACGAACCATCGCTGACCTCATCGCCCCTCCCGCGCACAGCTCGCAAACGCCCTCAGCCAGAACTGCGGCAAGAACATGCACCGCGAGCTGTCCAGCCGAGCCTTCACCGACGCCATGTTGAAACTGGCAAACGACCGCAATACCCATACCCAGGTCAAGGCCAAGATCCTCGAGCGCATGAAGGAGTGGTCCGACATGTTCAGCAAGGACCCCGATCTCGGCATCATGTACGACGCATATTTCCGACTCAAGCAGAGCAACCCAACCCTTCAGGCCCCCTCGGCGCCGCAGAAGACGGGCCTGACGGAGGTGGATCGCCAGAAGGAGGATGAGGAGCTGCAGATGGCGTTGAAGCTGTCGCTGCAAGAAGAGGAGAGGAAGAAGGCCCCTGCCGCGTCCAACGCCGCCGCTTCGTCCTCTTCCGCAGCCCCTGGATCGTCAGCACAGGGTGCCCAGCCGCAGGCTTACTCCACACCCGTGCCCGCAGGCACGACGGCCGCTACGGTTTCGAGAGTGCGAGCACTATACGATTTCGTCCCCTCAGAGCCAGGCGAGCTGGAGTTCAAAAAGGGCGATGTCATCGCGGTGTTGGAGTCTGTCTACAAGGACTGGTGGCGGGGTTCGCTCAAGGGCAAGACGGGTATTTTCCCCCTCAACTACGTCGAGAAGCTCACGGACCCGACTCCCGACGAGCTGGCACGTGAGGCCCAGATGGAAGCCGAGGTGTTTGCGGAGATCAAGAACGTGGAGAAGCTGCTTACGCTGTTGAGCACGTCAAACACGGCGCCGAGGGAGGAGGACAACGAGGAGATCTCGGTAAGTCGGGGAGGGCAAGTGTGTACACCGCCATCGGCTTGATGCTAACAGCGGTCGCGTAGAAGCTTTACCACCAGACGCTGGCCATCAGGCCAAAGCTGATCAAGCTCATCGAGAAGTACTCGCAGAAGAAGGGTATGTCGCTATAGTCTTTTGCTTGAGGAGCTGTCGCTGACCAGAACGTAGACGACTTCACACAGTTGAACGAGAAGTTCATCAAGGCTCGCCGTGACTACGAGTCGTTGCTGGAGTCTTCCATGTCACACCCGCCTCAACCAAGTTACCACCAGTATGCGATGAGACCGGGCCCTGGTGGGTACCCTGGCGGACCAGGAGCAGGATATCCTCCGCAAGGTCCTCCTCAAGGGCATCCCCAGCAGCAGCAGCAGCAGCCGCCGCCGCAGGAGCAGAGATATTACACTCCTGCGCCCCAAGGTGAACTACCTTGATTGCCTTCTTCAGGTGCACCAAGTTTAACTAGTTTTGTATATAGACCAACCCCAATACCCCCAGTCCACGCCCTCGCCGAACTTCCAGCGTCCGGCCCAGGCCACGCCAGCCCCTTTTTACGTAGCCGGTGCAGAAGTCCCTTCAGCGGGCGGTCCGCCTCACAACCAGCAACAACAGTATCCCCCGCGTGACCAACGTCATCCGTCCAGCGGAAAAGCCCAGGTGCCGCCCATCAACACATCGCCCACGCCGTCAGCCAACACGTACTCTGCCTATACCGTGCCCCCTAACCAGAGACCTCAAAGCAACTATGGCGCCCAGGAGCTGGCGACTTCGGTCTACGACTCGCCCATTGCCACCCATAACCCGAGCTCTGCTGCAACGTATACGTCATCCGTCTACTCTCAAGATGACCCGTATAACAAAAACAGCCCTGCTGTGGGCAACTCGACCGTACCCGCGCCGTCTTCTTTCCAACCGTCGGCACCACCGCCTGGACAGCCGTCTCAACCCCCTCAACAACCACAGCAGTCGCACTACCAAAGCTACCAGCCACCGGGAGCCCAAGGCCAGGATAACTACAACAACGCTCCGACTCAGGCGCCGCCGCCCGTGCCAACGGGGCCTGCTCCGCCCGTTCCTGGCTCCGGGCGGTCTGAAGTCTTGACACCGCCGCCTCTGCAGCCTGGTGGCGCGGCGTATGATGCCAGACAAAGCCTGCCCAGCCAGAGCCCTTCGCAACAGCAGTATCGGGCGTACGTCCCGCCGGGCGCTGCTGCTGAGGGGCCGAGTGCGCCACCCCCAGCGGATTACTATCGACAAAGCGGGGTGTACTAGATGACGAGACGGGGGGGGGGGGGGGGGGGGCTGGAGAGCGATTGAATACATAGGCTCCCGCATCGAGGGGCATTGAAACCGTGCGAGAGGGCACTGTTCAGAAGGAAGGGAGGCTACATGATTGTTTAATGACATACATTCATTTCCCCGGATGCTAGCGAAGGCCGTTTGTCTCCTTGTTTTCTTCTCCTTTTCTCCCCCTGTAATCCATTCCCCAAGGAGGCATAGCAGTTATTCGCCGCCGTTCCTCGTGCGGTGTTGCGCAGTCAACCGTCCTGTGTGCGACGATGGTCCTGAAAAGGAGACGAGGGCGGCATATCCGCGCATTCTCCAAAGTTCCATACCCAATTTGCAGAGGCTGTGAGTTTGTCGGCTGGGAGGGGAGGGGGGGAGGGGGCGGTGGTGATTGAGAGAAGCAGGGAAATGCGGGAGTATATATATAATACGCAGAAATCTGTACCATACTTTTTGTCATTCATACTGTTCCGTTGCGATGTGACCGTGGTGGCCCTGGTGCCGCATTCGACGACGTATGGTGCCGCCTGGGACTTGCGCCGACAAGGCCAGCCTGGTTGTCACTATTGGTTTGTCTGGTCAATCAATGCCTTGCAGGAAAAACCATGTTTCGTTCAGCCATCGTATCGATAAAGAAACCCCTCTTCCCTCCGTGACGCCCCCAGAGTCCTGTCTGTAATCTTGCCAAATCATTGCTTTTCTCCCGCGCTGTAGCTTCGGCCACGAAGGCCAGCGGAATCCATCCACCACAACTCCGTGAAACTGCTAACCACCCGCCCAAGTGTTTCCCATCCAAAACATACTAGCATGCCCACCCAGTAGACTCGTATCTGCTTACCATCGCCGGCCAAACATCTCATGCTCGGTCTTCTTGGGCGCCTTCCTAGTCTTACTGGCCAGCAAGCTGGTCTCGGGAGAGCCCTGCCTGCTGGTCCTCGCGGAGGTGGTGCGCGAAGACGGCTCTACGTAGCTATCGTCGCCACGGGACGCCGCGCCGGATGCGTCGCGGCGGAACAGGTCCATAATCTCCTTGAAGCCGAGCCTGAAGGCGTCCTTCTTCATACCACCCTCGATGGCCGTCTCAGCGAGCAGACGCTTCTTCTCCTGCAGCGCGAGGATACGCTCCTCGACCGTCTTCTCAACAGTAAGCTTATAGACAACGACGTCGACTGTCTGCGTGAGGCGGTGGACTCGGTCAATAGCTTGCTCTTCGACGAACTAGCGTATTGTCAGTTTGATGTTGCCAAGCGAGAGAGAGAGAGAGAGAGGTGGAAAGAGTTGGAAGCTTACGGGGTTCCAGAAGGGCTCCAGGATGATGACACGAGTGGCTGCCGTCAGGTTGAGACCCAAGCTGCCGCACTTGAGACTGCACAACAAGATGCGCGTGTTCTTATCGTTACGGAGACGGTGCAGACTGGCTTCCCGCTCGTCGTTCTTCATGCTGCCGTCGTACCGAGTGAATTTGAAACCCTCCTTGCGGAAGAAGGGCTCAACGAGGTCCATCATGGAAGTGAACTGCGAGAAGACGATGAACTTGTGTTGATCAACCTCCTTGTGCAGGATCTGCATCATCTGACGGATCTTGGCGGAGGCTAGGATCTGAGACACCTGGCCGTTGGGGTTATAGTTCGTGTCGTCATCAGAATAAATCTCCGACTCATCCACGCCGGTGTCCTCGTCTGAGTCTGTTTCACTTTCAGAGTCGGTCTGAGATGACGGCGACGACTTGAGCTTCTCCTCCTTGACCTGCGACGCTATCGCCGTTATCGAAGGGAGGCTGTCATCCGATGCGTAACTCTCTTCCACGTCTCGCCCACGCTCGGCTTCGTCGTCCTTGACAACGAAACTATCAAGCTGACTGCCGCCTTCCTCATTCTCGGAATCGTGCTGGGAGTCGTCGGATCCAATCCAGTCGCCGCCGCCCTCTGCATTTTCGTCCTCCTCGCCGCCGGTCTTGCCTAGCCGTAGTTGATCACGCTGATCCTCGGGTACGAGCCAGCTTCCATCTGCTTCTTCGTCGTCACTATCGAGAACGACGTTCCTATTCCGGGGCCGACGTGCTTTGGGCTTGTACGGCGTCTCATCTTCGCCGCCGGCTGCCACGGAGTTCTTCACAATGCTTCTGACTTTGGCCTTCTTGTGCTTAGGCTTCTTCCTCTTTGGCGTCTCATGCTCCTTAAAGTAGGCCAGGTCATCGTAGCACTCCTGGCAAGTGTCTCTGTCGCTGTTGACAACATCCTTGGGAAGGTTTCGCCCGCAGATACCGCACGTCTTTGTGGCGATGCCCATCCCGCCAAACATATCGGCGAGGGAGTCAACGTCTGCTGACGAGTTCTTGTTGGATGTGTCGGTGGACAATGCATCCTTGTCCTTGTCGAGCTTGCCTTCCAGTAGCTTGGGGTGATTGCAAGCTTGTCTGAGCCGCAGAAGGAGAACCAAAGCATTAGCGTAGTCGACCTTCCCCTTGAGCATTCTCTCGATACTTTCGTCAGCTCGGGTTTCAAGCCTGTCATAGAAGCGACGCTCGGCAGGAGAGAACGTTGTGGCGACAGTGACAACCTTGCGTTCGGTGACCTTGAAACCTGTGCTAGACTTTTCTCCCTCTTTCGTTGGCTTGCCACCCGGGTTCAGAGCTCCCTCCTCCTTGAGAATGTCCTTGGTACGACGTTTCATGAAGCACCGTAGGAGACTGTGAAGGCGGCGAATAGCAACGTGTCCTTTGCCGTTCTTCAAAGGCTTCTCAATCTGCTCCTTCCATTCTTTCAGGTCGTCATAAGGCTTGATCCGCAAAAACTTGATAAGGGACTGCAACTCTTCCAGGTTGTTTTGCATTGGCGTTCCCGACAAACACCACCGGTACTCGGATCGCAGTGCGTAGCACGCTTTTGTCGACTTTGCATTCCGGTTCTTGATGGTGTGTGCCTCGTCGAGTACTACACGCCACCAATGGAGGCCGAAACATCCTGCCTTGACGCCGTTCTCATCCTCGGACGAGTGGCCCCATTCAGAGACCAAGACTTGGTAAGTGGTGACGACCACATCGTAGGCGGCGAGATCCTTGAATCTCTTGGTGCGCTGGGGTCCATGATGAACGCAGACATTGAGCCCATGCGTCTTGGCCACCTTTTCCTTGATTTCCGACTCCCATTGCCTGATCAAGGCCAGAGGCGCGACTACAAGTGTCGTTCTTTCGATGCCCTCGAAGTGCTTTTTGTAACCCTTTTCGCCTTTGGCAGGCTTCTGATTGCTGAGAATCAGGGAGATGGTTTGTAAAGTCTTACCGAGACCCATGTCGTCTGCCAGAATACCGCCCTTGGGAACCTTGCCTCTCTTGACCGGGCCGAGCTCGCGACCTCGCATCCACTCAACACCTTCAACCTGGTGGGGAAGGAGCTTCACCTTGAGACCCTCCATAGTGCCATCGTTAACAGTCTCTTCGGCTTCCTTTTTCTGGGCTTCCTCATCGTCTGACTCCATCCCACCCTCCAGCAGTGCCTTCAGATCGGCTGAGGCTTTCGCCGGGTCGGTGTAGAACTCGGCTTCTCCGAAGCTGCCGGGGGGTCTGTACGTGGAGGGATTGGCGTCGGGGCCAATGGAGCTGTACAAAGTGCGCGGCTCCGGTTTCTTGTCTTGGTATAGAGGGACAGATGGTACGGCTACGTTTTGGGCTCTGTGGTGCTCAGGTCGAGATCTGCGTTCGTTGAAGATGCCTGTAGCCTTTTGTTTAAGAGAGGACAAGATCTTAGTCGGGTGGCCAAACACTGGCTGGTGTGATGACGAAGGATGGAAGGCATCGCGACGCTTGGTATCGGAGAAGAAGGATTCCAGCGCATCGGAGGGCAGTATTGATTTGTTGTGCGAGCTCGCGTCGCTTTCCTTGGAGCTTGGTCGAGGCGGTTGCTTGAAGTCGTCGCGGGTTATCTCTACAAGGTCAGGGCTGGTTGGGCGTTGAAACGGCTGACTGCGTTGTACAGACGTGTTTGGAACCGCCGCGGGGGGGTTCGATTTCGGTGTTGTTGACACGCGCATTGCGTCAAATCTAGCAGTGAGGGCATCGGGGTCGAAAGATGGTGAGTCGCTGCTCTCGAGTCGGAGTGGCTCACGAGGGACACCGCGAAGCTTCTTGGTAGGGGTGCCTGTCTTGGGCACTTCGCGTGTGGTCGAGGACTGTGAGTCCTCGTTTGGGTTGATCGGGCGCAAAGGGCCCTTTACTGGGCTCCGTTGGTTGACCATGACTGTGTGACGTGGCCGCGACCGGTCTTCGTAGGTGGTGCTGGACTGTAGTAGCTGCTTGCACGATGGGTCGCTATGATTGGGACGCTCGACCACAAGACGTCGTGTTTTTCGGGCTGGAAAGCAAAGTTGACGCCTAGTTCTCTGTTGTTTCAAGGAGGAGGGGTCAGATGTTGACCTTCGTTGGAGGGGGGCAATAAAAAAAACAAGCGAATGTGGGCTGTACTAACTTCACATTAGTCTTATGAGTGAGATCGATGTAGCGCCAGGACAACAATGGACTCCAGCGATGATCAAGTCCTATTTATGGTAGAGGTCTTCTGCCTTCTCGGAAAAGCCCAAGACGTGTAAGTGTAAGCTGCCGCGATTGATGGGAGACTGTGATTCAGTGTCAATGGGATGTGCATGCTGTTGGTACCATTTACCAATGACATAACTCTCCCCAGCAACGGGTAGGCAACCAACTCGACGCCACGGGGCAGGTGTGGAACATAATCAGGGGTCTCGTGTGGCGGTGCACACCATCCAGCCGAGTGCCGCCTTAGCAGAAGTGGCAGACCAGCATAGCTCTACTTGAGTTGGGGAGACAGTGCAAGACCCGCAGCTGCACTTTGCGCCGTAGACCCCGGCCCCCTTTTCACCGAGTCTCACCGAGCTACAAGCCAGTAAACGTCAAAGAGAAAGTGCATGGCGACTGCTTCCACTGTCATGCGCTTATTTTCTTCTTCTATAGTCTATCATCTAGATGGGGTATCAGTATATGGGTCAAACCCAACACGCTGCTTCGCTTCTGTCCTCGCCCTCAATCGCTCTTCTCCTGTGAGTCCCGTCGTCGACGATTCTTCCAAGAAGAAATTCAGGATATGATCATGCATGGTAAGGTGCGGTGCCTGTTGAAACTCTTGTAGACTCGTCAGTCTTATCAACATCTCCATGAGGGAAAGAGATGTGACAACCGCGCCAAATGGCGATCTCGCGACAAATGACTCCGTGCTGTCCATCTGGTGTTTGGCCAGCTCCTGGGAAAACGGTTGGACCGATGCGGTTGACCTCGTTCCTGTGGCGGATGGCGACGACTGCAGTGACAGACTCTGAATCTGTGCCATGAGTCTCGTGTCTAGCGATGCTCTTGACCGACGGGAGTCTGTTTTGGGAGACGCAATTGCCGAAATTGGGGTTGAGCTCAAGGGCAACCTGGGCACCTCCTCCCCGAGATCCTCGTCTTCGGTCTCACTGCTTTCTGACTCATCATCGTCTTCAAACACTTCTACAGCCAGCCATTCCGGGTCCAGGTGGCTGGGGAAGCTCCTACGAGAGGACTTGGCTGGCATTTTGGGCATTTCCTCCAATATGTCCAGCGCTGCACTCTCTTCTCGAAGTTGACGATCGATATCTTCCTGCTCATCTAACCCCTCTTCATCCTCGGCCTCAGAAGCTATGATGGAGTCGGCTTCGTCACTGTACGCCATCATTTCTTCTTGCATCTCCAAAGGTGGCTTCGCAAGCAGGTCTCTTTTCAACAGCAGGACGGGATTGTTGTCTGTTCCGCCATCGCCAATGTTGAGGATTCGGCCAGTGTCGGCATAGAATATCTTGGATATCTGATGAATCGGGATAGACTCACGGATGCCGGCGCGTCTGATGTCATCGTACGGGGCGGCCTCGGCATCCAGGTCATCGTGAGCTCGGCCGTCGTCCATATCCTCAATGATTTCGAGGTGGTAAGCATACTCGTTACGCTGACCCATGCCATATGCATTCGACTTATAGAACTGAGACTTGGTGAAGCTGCTGGGTCCTGCTCCTGACGGTCGAAAGCCCTTGTTGGGATCGAAAACGTGCCCCATCGGTGTCCGACACAACCGAACCCTGGCTTTATGAATGACCTCCTGCCATAAGGGTTTACGTTCTCCCTCTCCGAGGCCATACGGCGCCGGTGTGTCTCCCGAAGAGTTGTTTTGCGGCTTTTGAGGGGGTTGAGAATGTCCTTCACGATGCCCGGGCTGTGTTGTAGGGGTCCTCGAGGCGTGGCCGAGGAACAACATGTAGATGGACAGTGTGAAGACAGGTCCAATCTGCACAGGACGAGTAGGATCAGCAGCGAACTGACTATCCCCATATGTGAGGAAAGTCCCCGCTTGCAAGAACCGTGACGGCGATACGCTTGGAGACATGGCAGAACTGAGGCTCTCCCCCGACGCAGATATGGCCATGTGCAAAAGGGGTATGTCGTTGTCCAGTTGGGCCAAGAGATCTTTCATATCATCGATAATTGCCCTCAGTTCCTCAAGCTGCTGTTCAGAATCCAGACTCCGCCGTGGAGCCTCGTTGGTTGCTTCGCCAGCCTGAGCTGCCTGCTCGACGCGGCGACCGAGGGCAACGATGCTCCGCCGGAGACTCTTGGCCAGGGGCAAGGCCGATTCCAAGAAGGCATTGCCTCTGCCGGACCTAGATAGCTGTTAGCAAGCAAGTCCAGTCTGCGGCAACGGGAAGATGTACTTGAACTCTATGAGATCTATGGCAGGAGATACGATCTGCAAGCTAGGTTAGCGCGATGGCCACGGCGCCGAAGATGCGGGTTCTCACCTTGATCTTGCTGTCCAACCTCTTCTGGAGCTTCTTGATATCTGAGCGAACAGCCCTGTCGTCGACAGTCTTCATGAGGCGTGAACATTGGGAAAAGGCGTAGGTCGAGGTCAAGGCAATGCCTGACCTGATGGCCATGTTCATTGCCTGGGCTCCCAGTCTAGCAAGTAAGGCATCCATGGTTGTTCAGATTCCATGCTGGTATTGAGAAAGGCCGGTCATGAGTAAAAATTCCTGGCCGGCAGGGGTTTAGTTCGTTTGCGTGCAACAATAGGCGAAGGTCAAGCTTCTGCCTCGAAGAGAGCAAACAAATAGGTACAGGTATGGTAGAGACCCCCTGCAGCTGGCTCTGGTGCGAGTCTTTTGACCGGGATACCTCAGGCAGGTTGCCATAGGTGAACCCAGACGGTGACGGGCTCGCAGGGTCTAGCAAAGCGTGGAAGCTGCCCCTCCACTACAAGACTGGAGTGGGAGCCCAGCCTACGTGGGTAGGTGCCCGATTTGGGTGGATGGGGATGGACCCATTCCACAGTGCGAAGGGGGCACCCAGCCCCGCGCTTCTCACGTGCACCTAGCGAGGGGCATCCAATGTGCTGGGGATTTGGGCGGCGCAAACTACCCCTCAGTTGGCCAGGCACATAACTGTGGACAGTGCGACGTCAGCGTCGAGACAGCGCCGCGACGACCCCGCCGAGCGGTGGAGCCCGCACTTCAAAACGTTCGTCAGGTCTCTACGCTGGCAAAACCTGAGCCGCTGCGTTATATCATTGAAGAAAAAAATTGAGAGGGCCGCAAAAAGCTTCGTAAAACCTGGCAACCTGACGATTCGAACAAAAGACAGAGCCAGAACAGGCATTAATTCGGTGGCAGGCAATAGCCCGAGGTGAGTCACTAGAGCCCAATCCGAGTCACCTTCTTCCCATTCGCCTCCCGCCGTTCCACGTCCCTACTGAAGTCACCCACTGCCTGTGTTGCCGCCGCGGGAAAAATAAACCCTCCAGCCCCTCTTTAAATCTTTCTTGGGCGCATCTCGTTAACGTCCCATCCCACTTCCAGCTCTGACCGCATTCTCTCACCCCCGATCCCGCTTCCGCTCTTTCACCACCTACCTTGCCTCACTTCTCGATAATCCATTCCATCTGCCCCGCCGCTGCAGTCCATCACCATGTCGAACCTCAACTCGTGGGAAGACGACCCTTCGGCCCAGGACGACAACCTGTCGCGCCAGGCCCAACAGCAGCTCAATCTCAACCAGCAGCAGAACCCTCAAGCCGGCTCCTTCCGTCCCGGCGCCTCTTCCTTCACCCCTGGAGCCCAGGCATTCCAGCCCGGTCAGCAATACGGAGGCTACGCCCCTCAATACCAGCAGTACTACAACCAGGGCTACGCTGGTGCTGGTGGCTTCCCCCAGTATGGTGGTCAAGGCCAACAAGCTTTCAACCAATACGGACAGGGCAACTATGGCGGCTATGGCCAGCAGGGCCTCCAACAAGGCTACGGTATGTTTGTCAGGGAGACATGGCCCTTTCCGTCGCAACAAGTCGTCGTAACCCTCACTAACATGAAGGACTTTGTAGGCCAGGGCTACCCCCAGTACGGCCAGCAACAGCAGCAACAGCAGCAGCAGCCGCCGCAACAACAACAGCCCAAGCCCGCCCCTACCATCGCCAAGCGCCCGGCTGATGCCCCAGCATCCGGCTCCGATGCGCCCGCAGCCGCGCCTCAGGCTACAGTGAAGAAGGAGGGCGGTGCCAAGGTCTTGAGCATCGGTGGCGACGCCCCCAAGCCCAAGGCAAAGGTCCTCTCCATTGGCGGCACTGTTCCGCCCAAGAAGGAGGAGAAGAAGGAGGAGCCTACAAAGGAGTCTGGCGCCGCCGCCGCCGAGGCCGGAGCCAAGGCCACGGCTACCAAGGCCATCGAGAAGACGGGAGCTTCTACCACTAAGTCTGGCAAGACCTCCCCCTCTCCCTCGTCCGGCCGCTCGAGCCCTTCGGCCGGTGAGAAGAAAGCCGCCGCGAGAGACGTCGACGCCGTCCAGAAGGAGCAGACCGCCGACGTCGACGAGGCGACCCTCAAGGAAATTTACGGAAAGGAGCACGTCAACATCATTTTCATCGGTCACGTCGATGCTGGAAAGTCCACTCTTGGCGGTTCCATCCTGTACAACACGGGAATGGTCGATGAGCGGACAATGGAGAAGTACAAGAAGGAAGCCAGAGAACTCGGTAACCCGTCTTGGTACCTCTCCTGGGTCATGGACTTGAACAAGGAGGAGAGATCCCAGGGTAAGACGATCGAGGTTGGTAGAGGTTACTTTGAGACCGAGGTGCGACGATACAGTATCCTTGACGCCCCGGGCCACAAGACCTACGTGCCCAACATGATTGGCGGTGCCTCGCAGGCTGATGTCGGTATCTTGGTCATCTCTGCCCGTAGGGGTGAGTACGAGACCGGTTTCGAGCGTGGTGGCCAGACCAGAGAGCACGCCATGCTTGCCAAGACGCAGGGTGTCAACAAGTTGATTGTTGCCATCAACAAGATGGACGATGCTACTGTCGAGTGGTCGCACGAGCGCTACCAGGAGTGTACGTCCAAGCTGTCCCAGTTCCTCAAGGGCACTGGTTACAACCTGAAGACGGACGTCTTCTTCATCCCCGTCGCCGCCCAGCAGTCGATCAACATCAAGGAGAGGATCCCCAAGGGTGTTGCTGACTGGTACGATGGTCCCTCATTGCTTGAGTACCTCGACGGTATGAAGGCTCTGGAGCGCAAGGTCAATGCGCCTTTCATGATGGCTGTTGCAGGCAAGTACCGCGACATGGGTACCATGATTGAGGGCAAGATCGAGGCCGGTGTCATCAAGAAGGGCATGTCCCTTGTCATGATGCCCAACAAGCAGAGCGTAGATGCCTCGGCCATCTACGGCGAGACTGAGGAGGAAGTGCAGGTTGCTCAGTGCGGTGACCAGGTTCGTATCCGTCTCAGAGGCATTGAGGAGGAAGACATCATGCCTGGGTTCGTCTTGTGCTCGCCCAAGCGTTTGGTGCACAACGTGCAGACTTTTGAGGCGCAGATCCGCATCCTCGAGTTGAAGAGCATCTTGTCGGCGGGCTTCAACTGCGTGCTGCACGTCCACGCCGCCATCGAAGAAGTGACCTTCGCCGCCCTGCTGCACAAGCTGCAAAAGGGTACCAACCGCAAGAGCAAGCTGCCGCCCTCTCACGCAAAGAAGGGAGACAGCATCATCGCTCGTCTGCAGGTCATTGGCGGTGCCGGCTCAGTATGCATTGAGAAGTTCGAGGACTACCCGCAGATGGGTCGCTTCACCCTCCGCGACCAGGTTCGTTCCGCTCCGGCCCCACAGCTGCTTACCCGAGGACTAACACGTGGGAATAGGGACAAACCATTGCCATTGGCAAGATTACGAAGCTGATCACTGATGAAACTTCTTAAATTGACACCAGATGACGCGAAACCAAGAGTCGACTTCGGGCGAGAGGATCGAGCTGAGCGTCTCTTGAAAATAGCAGGCGCAGAAAAGCATTCGCAGCAACGGAAGAATCAAGAGGTTCTGGGCCACGACCAACATGCATAGAGATCGGCCTGAACAGTGTAAAAAGAAGACAGAGCGACGTCATGGGGCAGGGCGGCAATGCCGTGACACGGACGGGCCGCGACACGACAGGCTCGGCATGACAGGACCGACCGCAGGTAACTTTCTGGGGGTGGGGGAGGATGGGAGAAGGGACGGGAAGACGGATCTAAAACCAAAAATCAATCTCAAACCCTACAAAACACGCGCATGACGATGGCTTCACGTTTTGACCCTGTACGTGTGTGAGTGTGAGCGAGCTGATGTGGCAGGAATCAGGTTTGTGGGATTCCGAGGTGACTGCGTGGAACAGTTGGGCCTTCCGAGAGATCCCGATGATAAGGGCATTCTCGGGGGAGCGATGATGGAGAGTCAGGGAACGATAAGGGTATCCCCAGCGCCGTCGGACGTTCCGAGATATTCTCGTATGGGAGTGGGCTTGGGGCGGACAGCCCAACTGGGAAACTGACTGGGGGGTTGGTTTTTTTGGCGTCGAGTTCGATTTGTTCGGGCAGAAAAGCCTGTGTGGAGCTGAGATACCTATGACGGGCCACGGCAATCGGCGGGTGGGGTTGAGCGGAGCCGAGGGGAAACCCGGCCTGACGGAGGCGCGCGTCCCAGTTTGCATTTCACTCCAACAGTATCCCCTATTGTTGCTTGTTCTGTGAGGTGTAATACGGATGTCCTGAGACGCCGCCAACTTGGCATCGTGGGGTCGATGCAGAGTACGAAGACGGTCATTTGCCCTTGCGCCTCTGGCCAGACCAGTCCACGAGATGTTGCAATGTCGCTTCCTCATTCCTTTACCCCAGGAAATATGGCCAACGTGCCTGGTCAAGCGACATGTTGGTCCCATGACGAGCTGTTTCGTCTTCTTCTCCTCCCTGTTCTTCATTTCTCGAAGAGTTCTATCAGTCACATGTGCTCTCGGGACGAGGGTCATGTACGTAATGGTAACCATCGTCAAAGCGATGGGAGGGACATGACATGGCTCTCATAAACCTAGCCGGTCTATGTACCAACATTTTCAACAAACCCCCGGCTAAGTTAGTTACCTAGATACGGCACCAGATGACATGGCGATGGATCAACATTTTACCAAGGTGGGCCCCGTAGCCCCTGTCCTAATCTTGCGTGTGCGTGTTTGTGTGATCTGGAAAATGCATTGCATTAGGTGCTGCGACGAATCGCACACTGTCCTATCTTGGAGACGCAGTCATGATACAATCAAATCAATCAAAGACTGAACGAGAGAAGTTGGAATTGTGTGCGCCGGAAGATGTCGGAACACGAAGCTGAGAGTGAGCCTCTTTGCACGGCTGGCGGCGGTGATTGGGCGGGCGGTGGTGGGGCGCGGGGTAACTTGCACTAGACCCATGGAGTCGCTCGGCTACTTTGGGGATTCGCAGCGGGGCTCACATACACACACACCAAGCGGCTCTCTCTCTCCTCTCGATGCAGCGGGCTAACGTCATCTTGTTGCAAGGTTGTCCCGGGGCTCATCCCGCTCCCTATGGAGCAAACAGACGCAGCCGTTTTAGTTGGC